GGGGGGGGGGGGGGGGGGGGGGGGGGGGGGGGGGGGGGGGGGGGGGGGGGGGGGGGGGGGGGGGGGGGAGATTTGATCGGATGGTCTCGGGATTTGTCGGGATGACTCGGTGACTGGTGGAATCGCGTGCGCCATGGAATTCCAACCCCCACGCACATCCAACCCCCCACCCCCTCCGCCACCCCCCGCCCCATTCTCGCCCCAACCAACCGCTATAAGGGAATGAGTATGGAGGAGTGAGTATAGTCCATTGTTCGCGTGGGGTATATGTCGTAATTGGGATGGGGATTTTATTAATTTTCTCGTTTTACTGTCAATTATTTCCGGCAAGTTTTGCTCGTCAATTTTTTATTGCGGGGTGTGGGAGGATGCGTTTGCTGGGGAAGGGGGGGAGGGGGGAGTATTGAGGGAGGGGTTATAATTGTTTGGGGATTTTGGGGAGCGAGGAAAGGGAGTGGGGAATGATTTTTTGGGGAAGGAAAGAGGAAGGTGAAATTGGGAAAATATTTTTATTGGGGATTTTTTTTGTTTCTCGGGATTTTTGGGGATTTTTCATGTTTTTGGGGATTTTTGGAAACTTTTTGGAAAGTGGTGAGAGGGGGGAGGGGTTCGGAGTGTTCAGGGGTGGAGAAGAGAACTGAAAGAGGATTGAAAATTTTCAGAGGCAATTTCATTGGTTTTTGGGGATTTCTAGGGTTTTTTTTAGTTTTGGGGATTTTTCGGGAGGGAGGGGGGAAGTAGTGGGCATTTTTTTAAGATGATGAGGCGGTGAAAGGACGGGTACATATTTTTTGGTGGCGGAGGGAGGGAGCAGTGGAGATTTTTGTAGGTTAAGGGGCCGGGATTGAGGGATAAATTATTTTGGGGGCATTTTTTGGTTTTTGGGGATTTATGAGGGATTTTTTTGGTTCTACGGATCATTGAGGAGCAGCTAGGGATTAGTAATTTTTTGTGATGGGTCCAGAGGCTGAGAGAGGAAACTGAAGTGAAAGAGAAAAATTTTTCAACGCAATTTTTTTTGGTTTTTGGGGATTTTTCAGGATTTTGAGGATTTCTAGGGTTTCTTTGAGGGTCACAGGAATTTATTAAGGAGTAGTGATGAGTAAATAATTTTTTAGGTATTGAAAAACGAAAAAAAAAATTTTTTTGGGGAATTTTTTGACTCTTCGGGATTTTTGGAGATTTTTTTAAAAGTTCTACCGGGTATTTGTAACAGTTTTCATTCAAAAACCGACTAACTATCCGAGATTAGGCGTTCGAGAGTCATTTATAAATTGTGACAATGCTCTCGATTTTTCAAATAATTTTTAAACTTGTTTTTCCAAGTAAATCATCAATACCAAAAATCATTTCTTTTCAATTTTCAAGTTTTTTGCACAATCTTCTCTGGCAGAAAGAAATCAAAACAATTTCTTCAAAAGAGATTAATTGCAAAAAAAAATCGTGAATTCAGAGCGAAAAAAAAAATTAATAAATGAATGAAAATAAAAAATGGAATAAAAATTTAGAACACTTGATTCAAGTATCAATTCCTCTTCCTCCTCCCCCCTCCCCCTTAAATCCATCAAGAAAGTTTAAATGAGTAATCAATATCTCTCGGAATCATCACCTCAATGTATCAAACCGTGCAATTAATGAATCAATTATTCGCCTTCTCATCAAATCTCGAGAACACTTCCACTCCTCATCATCATTTCTCCGGCAAATAAACGAAGAAAAAAGCCATTTCTAAGGTACAAACTCAAGAGTCGATAGACTCCCATTGCGCCGGCGCTCTGGTGCTGGGGTAGGGACACGTCCTGGGGACTTATTGATCAACGATCGGTCTCACCATTACCCCTATATCTATACACTAAAAAACCACCTAAAGGTATTTTCAATGCTGGGGAAAACAAACTTTTCTTCGTATCAGAGCACAACACGACACTCCGAATCATTGTTGTCCATTTTTATTTCCACCTTTTAGCGTAATTAAATTGTCCAAATAGACCATTATCATCAGCGACTCGACCCTACGGCCTTCAGACAAACAAAAGGTAACAAAAACATCAAAAATTGTCATAATTTTCATTTTTCTCCGGAAAGCAATTAAAAATTTTCAATTATTAAAATGCCCATAATTACAAAAATCAACCGGAAGTGAAAAAGAAATTATATCACCGGAAGTCGGGAAAATTCACGGGACAAAATAAAATATAAAATTTTTTCCAAAAAATTAACGGGGCAAAACGGCTTCATTTTTTTTTCTCGACACTTCGACCTTCAGACAAACAAAATGCAATGAAAACTTAAAAGATTTTCACAATTTTCATTTTATTTACAAAAACAATTAAAAATTTTCAATTATTCAGATGTTCCTGATTGCAAAAATTCCAGAAGTGAAAAAAAAATTATTTCACCCAAAAGTTGAGAAAATTGCCGCTTCAAAACACTCGTCATAAATCCATTTTGCCCCACAACCCCTTGAAAAAATGACGAGAGAAAATTTATCCAAAAAATTCTCCCTCGGCGATAACTCAAAAAGCAACGGGGCAAAACGGGTCCTCCTCTTTTTTCATTCTCCACAAAATTTTTTGATCCATTCAATGGGGTCACCTCCCCCCCTTTCCCCCACCGCCACTCCCCCAAAAAAATGAAAAATCCCGTTTTCACGTCAAGAATCCCAAAAAAAAATATTTTCCCAACGTAAAATGGATTCTTCCGATGGTTTAAAACGTTTTTATTGCACGTAACTGTTTTCATTCGATATTGAATAGGAACAAAGCGGTGCCGAGGGGCGGAGGGAGGGGGAGGGTTCCTTTGTTGTTAGAGGGGACAGAGAGAGAGAGAGAGAGAGAGAGAGAGAGAGGTGACTTTTATCTAGACACATTTTTCCTGCACACGGAAAACGATTGAAAGGTACATAGTCACTACTTGTTTCCGGTTCTCACAACATGAAAGACGGATTTTATATGTGAAGAGAGGTGGTGAGGAGGAAGAGGTAGAGGGGGAGGGGGAGTTGTATTGTTGCAAATGTGGAGGAGTATCCAATTAAAAAGGTCAGAGTAATTCATTTTTCTTTCTTCAGTTTCCATTTTTCACAATTTTTTTTGTCCCCAATTTTTTTTTATCTTAAATTTTTCATTCTTACTCGTACATTTTTTCAGTTTAGGGGGAAAGGGGAGAAGGATTCGTAATAACCCCATTAAATAGATCGGAAAACGACAGTGAATTTTTAAAAACGATTCATTTCGCCCCATTATTTCTCGATTTATAACAAAAATACGATTTTTTGGGAATTTCCTGTTTTTCCAAAATTTGTTCAACATAAATGTTTTAAAACGAAAATTTGCCCGACGAAAAATGATTGCGATCTCGAGAAGAAAGAAAAAAATTCATTTTTCATGAAAAATAAAATTTTCCTTTCTTCTCCGTTTTATATATATATATATATATATATTTTTTTTTCCCGAGACGTTGAATCGAGATGAGTTTACGCTTACATTTATATTACCGTGAGAACGAAGGGACTACGAATAATGAAAGTTTGTTGGCAATGTGAGGGAGGGTTGGGTGGGTCGTTGGATTCATCCTCAATGTCGCGCCACTTTTCCAGAATGAAATAAAAACAGAAAGGAAAATACAACCCTCCCCCTCTTTGTGACCGTAAAATATGGGATTGTAAAGGACCACATTCAACAGCTCGGAAAATATTCGTTGAGAAATACTGGGTTATGAGCCCTTAAGAGTAAAAATAAATTTTTTTTTATTTTTTTTTCACGACTCGAGAAATAATGAGGTTCACAGGAGGGTCACGTGACGTTTATGAAGGTCGTGCAGAGGCTATATGAGATTCGAAGATCATATGAGGGCCACCCGAGGGTTATATAAGGATTTTATGGGTCATTTGAAGGTTATATGAGTCATACGAAGGTCAATTGAAGGTCATATGAGATTTATATAGCCATGAAGGGCGCACGAAAGTCAACTGAAGGTCACAGAAGGGTTGCATGGCTTATGTCAAGGTCACATGAGAGTCATATGGGATTTGTATGATCCTAAAAATCGTATGAAGGGCATATGGAGCTCATATGGCTCATGTGAAGGTCACATGAGGCTCGTATGCGACTCGCGTGGTCACAAAGGACGTGCGAAGGTCATTCGAAGGCCACACAAGGGTTATATTGAGGTCATATTGGTCATATAACGGTCATAGGACTTATTCGAAGGTCACATGAAGGTCATACGGGTCATGTTAAGGTCACATGCAGGTCATAAAAAAATTTTTATGGTCATGAAGGGCGTACGAAGATCATATAGAGGCCACAAGAAGGGCATATAGAGGTCATATGGGTCTTGTGAAGGTCATATAAAGGTCACACGAACCTTTCAAAACCCACAACATTCGAAATGAATAAAAAAAATTGTCCAAAAAATTGCAAATTCACCTTCAGTTGCAGCCATGAAAGTAAAAATATAAACCCAATAAAAAAGGGATGAAAAATGGAAGGTCGTGAGCCTCGAGCTCAGTTTTTTTATCGACTGGAGAGAGCCAAATCGAGACATGAGAGGTCGTGCCCTCGTACGACCTCTTCCGCGGTGAGAGAGGGAGAGAGTTCTCTGTCTTTTTTTTATTATCATTGCATTTTCTTTTCCGTAACAATGTACGACGGCAGCCCTTCCTTACGCATCCCACTCCCGGAAATTTTTTAAAACGGCTATTTGCAAATTTGGCCGTCATTGTCGTTTCCTCGGGGTTTACGTGAATTTTCAGTGTGTGACATGTACTATTGGGCATTGCACGGATTCATGTCGGGGATATCAAATTCAGTTTTTATTTTTATTTTTTGCGAATCTGGGGAGAAGCACCTTGGGCTTATTCTAGCGCCTCTCGGTCATCGATAACATCACGCAATTGCCTTTCACTTTATTTTTCCAGTGAATATATTTACAAAAAAAAACAAAAATTTGAATTTTGTAAATTGAGATAAATTATTTTTTCATTTTTTTCCCATCATTTTCTGTTCTATTTTTTATTTGTTTCGTTTTTATGCTTTTTATTTGTTATTCTTTTCACTCATTTATTCAGTGGCTTTTTCCCTTCTTTTTCATGGGGTCGTTTGTGACCCCATTGAGAGTTGTCAGTCTTTTGAATTTTTTTTTTCAGGGTATGAGTTTTTTTTTTATGGCAAATAAAAGGTCGACGATGAGACTCTGTGCAAAGACAGTGCTCAAGCAGCAATTCATTGGTGATGCACTTGCCCACACGACCTGCCTCGGGCAAACTTCCTTTCACCGTTTATTTTTTTTTCCCCCCCTTGGTGTTGTGTGGCATGAGTAGACGAGTGGGAAAATAATAAAAGAGCAAGTGGGGGAGGGGTGGATTATTGAGGGTATTCAAGTGGGAGAGTTGATGAAATGGGTCTCCAAAAATTTGTCATGTGGTTATCAAGAGTCATTCGTTGAGATGTCTGAATACAACTAATTATTTATTCTATTAACATTCATTTGAGTCACTGGTTTCATTTGATTTTAATGTCATTGGGCTCATTATGCTCGTTTGAACATTCTCTATTGAGTTGCCGTAGGGCTTTCCCATTTATTAATTTGTAGTTTTATTTCAATAGTTGTATTTTCACATGGCAATACCAATCAACTTTCAAACAAACAGTCATAATTATTCATTAGTGTATTTATCCAAACAAAATCGTCCGGTGAGTTGATGGAAAATGTCTCAACGAACATATTGAGCCCAGGTGCATTGAAATCGTGTGAAATGTCTGACTTGAAAAAAACTAGACTGAATTGTCAGTAATATTCACCAATAGTGGATTTAATAGATCATTTTTAATTATGCTGCAATCCCAAAAATGTCATCATATTCAACAAAATTCTCCAATCAATGAATCAATCTCACCTCTTCCCAAATCTTCAATATAAATTACAAAAAATGTCTCTTGACATTTTCCCCCAAAACCCCTCGTTCCTGAGATAATCTCCTAATTAACAAATCGAAAAATTCCACTAGACTGGGATTCATCAACTTAAAAATGAAATTCATCGGTTTAGTAAATATCAAGAGTCATTCGTGGAGATGTCTGAATACAACTAATTATTCAGTCTATTAGCGTTGATCGAGAATAATTTTGCATTCAACCGCGAGCATCCAACATCAATTACATTAAAAAAAAAAACCAGAACCTTCATTCCTCTAAAATCGATTTTATCGCAGGGGCTGTCCCACTTGCATTCCCCCCCCCCTCCTCCCCCCATATCTCAAGACATTCAAATGCCCACAAACTCATTGGGGTTATTAAAAACCATCATTAAGGCAACAGCCACTTCGTCTAGACAACCCACCACATCAACGGCCAACCGTACCCACTGTCAATTGGCATTTCATGTCGTTAGTAGCAAAACTCCTCATCCTTAATTTTATTACTTCATTTATGTCCCTGCGAATCACCATTTTTACGTCCACGGAATTTCACTGCCTCGGGGTTGTTAACGACCCCAATAAACATCGCAGAAAAATCAACATTAGAATTAAACGAACACCCATTTTGCCCCGTTATTTACCAATTCGTCCCACAAAAAATCAAAATTGGTAGAATTTTCATATTTTTTAGGGAAAAAAATGTTCACAAAATTAAAAAAATGCAATTGCTGCAGAATTTTTTGTTTAACATAAATAAAATGCATTAAAAATCTTCAAAATCCTCGACTTTTTTTAGAATTATTTCGCAATCTTTATTTTTTTTTTAATTAAAAAAATTAACGAATGAAAAAAAAAATAACTCAATAATTTCACTGATTCAATGGCTCCCCGTCCCCCCTGCCACCACTAAACTGTGAACACTCTCCCCTCAGCGATCGATAAAAGACGGCAATTGCTTGTCGTTACCCCCCGTGATTGCCGCCGACGCACGTGTATATTTTTAGTGGCACAAAACACCCTCTGGCACACCGGACCCTCTCCCCCCGTCCCCCAATTTTTCTCAACTTGAAACTTCCATCTGAATTCGATTATCGGTAATAACCAATCGCGCCCATAACAAAGTTTCGTAACTCCATTAAAAAAAAAAATAATAATAATTTTAAATTTTACCCGATCAATCAATCTCATAATACAACTCACGTTGTGAAATAATTTCGCATTGCACCTTCGTGAGTCTGCGTTTACATCACTCGATTTCCCCATAAACTACTGTCAATGAAAGAAAAAACGATTGTGAAATAATTGAGATGAGTACAATTATTTATTCAATCTATTCCGCTCGAGTCGGTGGAGAGGGGGGTCGATAATGACCCCATTCGATAGATCGGAAAATTTCAGTTCAGATGAAAAAAAAAAACAATACTTTTTGCCCCTTTATTTCGCGATTTATCGCGATAAAACATTTTCAACTCCAGAGCAAATTTCGCAAACATTTAAAAAATTACTGGGACAAAACGGGATTTTTTATAATGACCTCAGTCGATAGATCGAAACATTTCAGCTGGGATGAAAAAAAAACAATACGTTTTGCCCCATTAGTTCGCGATTTATCGCGATAAAACATTTTCAACTCTAGAGCAAATTTCGCGAATATTTAAAAAACTACTGGGGCAAAACGGAATTTTTAGTGAAGTCCCCATTCGATAGATTGAAAAATTACAGCCAAGATGCAAAAAACAATCCATTTTGCCCCGTTATTTCGCGACATATCGCGAAAAAAACATTCTCTATTCCAGAGCAATGTTCGCGATTATTTAAATGACCACCGGAGAAAAATGGGATTTTTTTAAACTCATCTCAATTTTTCTTATCTATCCAATGAGACAACAGAATGGATAAAAAAAAAACATTTGAATTGCCTGATTTTTCCGCTCTCAATCAATATCCGGTGTTGACCTCATCCCCCTTGCGCCGGAAATCGCACGTAGCATGACGGCCGTGCCCCTGGAGGGTCGATAAGTCAGATTTCCTCCTCACGCACCGGTGGACAAATGCACTGCGCACGCACTCACTCTCTCACGCAAACTGACACGATACGAAGTAGCAAAAAAAAGAAAAAAAAAAGAGGAGGATTGAGTCGAGGTGGGGTAGACCTCCGGAGAAGAGTGCGAGAGAGGTGGATTGTCCAGTTGCAGAGAGGGGATAGCGGCTTCACTTCAACTCGTATTCCCGTAAAACCCGTGCCCTCGACTCGTGGCGTTTCAGTCGTCGTTTCGCACGCGCACGAGACACTTTAAGGCCCTTCAATCCCCACTCGGTCTCACCTGTTGAGAGAAAAAAAAAGTCCCAATCACAGTCGCGTAAACATACGAGCGATACGTGAATAATTTACGCTCTGATTAATCCGTAAGACACAAAAGTTCACACAAGTTTCACAACTTTGATTATTGTCGATTTATTCACGAGTGGAAGGACCCAAAGGTCATTATTTGTTGTGGGCCCAATTATTCGTTAGTCACTCGGCAGTTTGGGAAAACCAACAACTCCCGGACTATGACTTAAGGTAGGACTCCTAATATTTGTGTATGATAAGGCCCATTTTGAGGGGGGGTAAGGCCCTTTTGGAGGGGCCCAATGGACATGCGCAATGGGCCTTATCGATCCATGACCGTGGGAATTTTTTACTTGAACGGGTTTTATTTCTAAAAATGGAAGGAGCCCCTGCGATTTACTTCAATTTTTTTCGGGGGTAAGACCCTTTTTAGGGGCTCAGTGCGCATGTGCAACGGGCCCTATCGACCTAACACCGTGGGAATTTCTTATTTATAAAACATTTGTTTCAAAAAATTATAGGAAATTATCTAAGGGATTCCCTTCAATTTTTTCAGTGGGAAAGGCCCTTTTTGAGCCCAAAAATGGGCCTCATCGATCCGAGACCGCGGAATTTTTTTTGTTTCAAGGATTTTGTTTATAAAAACTGGACGGGGTGATAACAGTTCGCAACTTTTTCGGGGGGAGGATATGGCCCTTTTGCGATGCCCCATACGCATTCGCAATGGGCCCTATCAGTCGGGACGGTGGGAATTTTTCTATTTTGAAGCCCCAAATGAGGGTTTCGCTTCTAAAAATCGCCTGACGTGTTTTAAGGGATTTTCTGCGGTTTTTTTGAAGATGGGGTGGTGGTAGAGACGAGTGGGAGGAGGGAGCGCGGAGGGGGGAGGGAGGACGTCTGCGTCTCAACGTGACGGAACTACTACCTGTTATACCGGCAAACGTTCCCACGGTACTGAGACTCTCCCAACGTGTGCGCACTCTTGCGTGTTGATTTTTATTTTTCAATTTATATCCCTGATTTTTGTTTTCCTTTCTGGATTTCTGGGATTTTGGGGTAAGTGAGGTTATAACTGTTTACTTGGGTATTATTGATTTCGTCAAGTGGCTTTTGCTTTTAAAGTCGATTGAATTTTTTCTGAATTTGGATTTGGGTCATATGGTATCTGTGTACGTGACATGTATAGAAAAATGATCTTGAAGGCTATTTTATCATCAATTTTGTTGATAATTTCGTGTTAAAAATGATTAAAAATTTCAAGATAATTTCTTGATTTCATAATTAAACGGAAAATGTCTGTTGAAATATAAAAATTATCTGAAGATAATTTTTTAGAAAAAAAAAGAGAATTTCCAAATGACCCATTTTGCCCCATTAACGGTTTTTCTGTCATAACTTGAGGAATAGTGGCTCAAAGTGGGTGATTTTTTTTTTATTTCGTGAGAAATTTTGTGAGCCATGAGATGGGGTCGTTCTCGACCCCATACGGTGGACCATTCGCGGGTCGGGGGAGGGGTGTCTGGACCTCGGAGATTGATATTTCTGGTTTATGATGAAAAGACTGTGTTAAATCAACATAACACACGGTGAAATAATCACGCGAGATAAAATATGATTGTAACATATACGTTGCGATTTTTTTTTTCAATAACGTGAGGGGAATATGAAGCCTGTGTGCAGCAATTTGCGTGTGTAAGGGCATTTTTACGAAGAGATGTTATCGAGTTATTCTATCGGTTCCACTTGTTACCAGTGGCGTGTTCAGTTTGTGCCTAATATAAATTTGTAGAATGAGGCGGAAAAATTGTGAAAATTATGAAATAGCATAAATGATTGAGGCATTTATGAGTTTCATATGGAGTTTGGAATTATTTTGCCTGTCCTTTTAGTTTTTTAGTGTTTAATTTTTTCAATTAATGATTAAAAAAATTATTTAGAAAATTATTGACATGGGGGTCATCAAATTAATTGTGAAAATGATTTTTCTGATTTTTTTCTGTCCATTAAACAATCAAAAAAATTGTTTCGAAGAAATTCTCTAAAGAAAATCCTTTTTACATCTGTTTTAATTTTTTGAGGCGCCAAAATTATTTTAAAAAATTATCACAAAATATCGCCATCAATTCCCTCAAATATCCCAATGAAATCATTTTTTAATATTTCAAATTCGTTAATTTCCTCCGCCAAATCCATTACATCTGGAGTTATTTAATTTTTTTAACGATTAAAATTCATTTTAAAAATCATTAACGCTGAAGTCATCAAATAAATTGCAAAAACTATTTTTATAATTTTTTATCAATTAAAAACTTTAATAAAATTCTGTCGATTGGAAAATATTCTCGCAAAAATTAATTTTTTCATCTATCAAAATTTTTTGGAGTCATCAAAATTATTTCAAAAAATCATCAAAAAATTTACTAACATAAATATCCTCGACTATTCCATCAAAATAATTTTTTAATACTTCAAATCGTTAATTCCCTCCTCCCCAAACCCATCAAATCCCATTTATCCCATGCAAATTGCCGCTGCAGCTCCCAAAAACCCCCCGCTAAAAATTTATCTCTCATTATTTATGGACAGCTGTTGGACCCCCGGCCATTTCAAAACGTGTCCTAGCCTGTTTCCCTTTCACTCTCAATTTGGCTGTTTTTTTTTTTTCAAATAGCTTTTTTATACGTTTTATTCTTTTTTCACCGCTCAAAAATTCACTGGATCGGTTTCTTCTTCAAAGAATATCCACAATGCAACAACGAAAATGAGATGGGTCGCTTCTTCTTTTACCTCGGAGATAGTTCGGACAGGTAGTCTTTTTACAATTCCCCTTTCCCCTCCTCGCTCACTCCACTTGGATCCGAACGATCTCCCCTTCGATACCTGGCGGGATAAATTGTGAAGAGGTTTTAGGGGGGGCCCTTTTTAGAACACGTCGAGGAGGGGGGGGGGAGCCCTGAAAACTGGCATGACCAGACCTGGTCTAACACTAAATTAAGGTTCTCAGAAGATTGAACGATTTTATTTCAAGGGCCTGTAATTTTTAAACTCGAAAAACAAAAAATTAGAATTTTTTTTCTTCATCGAAACAATTTTTTTAATTGAAAAAAAAATCGACGGAGGAGAGAGCACTGATGTAAATAATTTTTATTTTTCGCAATTGAACAAATGGTTTGAATTTTCTTTCCCCTCAATTTATCACTCAGTTGTGGATTTAACAAAAAAAAAAATGCGACACAACAGGAATGAGGAGAAAGCATAGAATTACATGATAAGATCGCTCTGACCTTGAAACAGCTGAAAACCGCTAGAAAAAGGCTGGTAAAAAAAATAACCGGTAATAATCCCCGTAGAAGTGTTCGGGACAGCTTCTGGGTCACCTGTTATTTACCTGTTTTTAGAATTCACTCCATTTATTATTTACCACTGACACCGACGAGTTGAAAAACATTAGAAAGTTGGCGGTGAATAGTATAATTACCAGAAGAAATTATTCCGGGAGGCGAACAAAATTTTTAAACAACGTGAATGAACAAATGAAGAAAAAACATTGAATTGAACCCACAAAAATGTGTAGAAGGTCAAATATGAGGGTCAACTATTATGATGAATAAATAATTAATTTCAGAAAGGTGGAAGAAAATAAATTGATGAGACAATGGGGTAGAGTGCGAGAGGCAGAGGCGGAAGAATACGAACACGAGGGTTAAATTCAGGGGTCAAGTCTGTGGGTCAACTAAAATAATAAAGAACAAAACAATTCTAAAGACGCGACAAAATATGAAAAATGAGAAAATATAGATGAAATAATATAATGAAATGTCAAATTCATGAGTCAAGTCTGAGGGTCAAACGCAGAGGTCAAGTCTGTGGGTCAACCAAAATAATAAAGCACAAAAGAATTCTAAAGCCATGGAAAAAACATAGCTTAGATAAAAGAAGGAAATGTCAAGTTCATGAGTCGAATCTCAAGGTCAAATTCGTGAGTCAAACAAAACGCTCCTCAAGGGTCAGTTCACCATAAATAAGGGTCAATCCAACACTAAACAGATGAGAACTCAAGGGTCAAACCCATCCAATAAACACCGAAAAAAAAAAAATTCAAATTGAATAAAATATTTTAAAAAATTACAATAATGACACGTAACGGTCGCGATAGCCCGTATGCCGGCTGCCTCATGACCCAACCGAAGTGATTTATTATCTCCCACCCTCTCCTCATCCTTTTTATTACTTTTTTCATCCATTGTCCTGCAATTTGATGTAGCGGTGAACGCAGCGGTTCAATTCACATCGGTATTTCCATTTTTCACCGGGATCAGATAGGGTCAATAGTGACCCCATTGAATAGATCGAGAACAAAAACATTAAAAAAAAACAGCCCATTTTGCCCCATCATCATCAAAAAACCATTTTCACTCCGTTTCCTTTTTCTCCAATAACTCAAAAAATAATGGGGCAAAATGGGGGGATCTTTTTTAAATAAAAATTACTTAATTGGCTGATTCATTGATGATGAAACATCCTCAATTTATCTCTCAGAAAATTCATCACCCTTCATAAAACGTTGATTTTAAATCCCATAGAGTCCAATAATAGAAGTAATCCGTCTATCGCAATTACCTTATTTGCAATCCCTCTCTCTCGTTTCAATGCTCACCTATACCATCATCATTTGCGGGCTGCACAGTTATATAGTCGACTCAACTGTTATTCAATCCGATTTCCGTGTTTTCAATCTGACGAGCCATTTTTTTTTATTTCTTCTCGAAGGTAAATTAACGCTGGGGTATCATTCAAACTTCCTCAGTACGATAGTTTTCGTTGTTGGCTCATTGAATAACCGGAGGATATGATCCGTAAATTGAAAAAAAAAGTCGATCCATTTTGCCCGACAATGTGTTGAGATGCAGGCGAAAAAAAAAAATTCAAGCCAATTTCGTTTTTCTCCCATAATTCAGAAAATAGCGGGGTAAAACGGGCCGTTTTTTACCAATTAGATGAGATTTTTTCTGATCTTTCGATTGCAAAAAAAATTATTAATTTGGTGTCACTCTTCCCATAACGTGAAAAAATATAATTTTAATGGTGATTTTTTTAAAGCTAAACTAATAATAATAAAAGTGGCAATAAACCGTGAAAATAATGTTAGGACACACCCAAGAATGGTATAAAAGGCCAACAGGCAAAAGGCAGCGGATCATTAATGACCAGGTGAAGTCTCTCCCGATGATTTTACAGTTAACCGAGACTTCCGGCGGTCTCTCTCTTTCTCTCTTTATCTCTCGTTTTTCCTGAATGAACCCACGACAACAAAAAAATCCCATTATCCCACTCCCCTCGTACTTCACTGCTAGACAAATAAAATCCATTTCATTTTATACATCGGTTAATTCACCACTGATTTGAAAAAAAAAAGACTATCCATTTTGCCCCGTCGATCAAGTCACGATGATGATACAATTTTCACAGGAAATCGTGTTTTTTTCGATTTGTTCGGAGACTAGTGGAGCGAAACGGACAGTTTTTCATGCACACTACTGGAAAAACTACCCACCGTTCCGATGAAAAAAAAATTATCCATTTTGCCCCCATAGAACTTGAGTTATGGCTAAAAACGTAAAAATGATCTATAAATCGATGAATGATCGATGAAAAATTAAATTAGGATTTTCTCCCGATCTACTGGGCCAAACTTAGTAGTCTTTTTTTTAATTCCAACCGAAATTTTCCGATCTGTTGAATGGGATCACTATCGACCCCCCCCCCTGCCCCCCATAGTAAATTGTGAGGATAATGACATTTTTGATTATTCGAATGCAAATGAGTGATTATGAATTCCGATTTTACATTCAGATAAATAAGCGAAAAAAATTCCCGGAAGTATGATTACAATCTCACGCTGGAATTTTCACTCAATCTCTTCTATTCTACTCTAAAGGTAAAAGTAACAAGAGAGAAAGAGAGAGAGAGAGAAGAAAATATAACAATGGAGATAAGAAATCGGAAATTGTTTTCAACGAAAACATGAGAAATAACACAAGTGTTGGTGAAACAATTTTCCGAGAGTCAATTACTCCGTCGAGTATGTATTCATGAATACTCGGTCGTTTGAAAACAATTAAATATCGTTTTTCTTCTCTCTCTCTCTCCTTTAATCTCTCTTTCTGTTCGGCTGTAGTGCGCAGTTTATGATCGAATATTTAGAACTTCAAGTGGGTGGAGAGGAATGAGAGGAGTGAGTAGAGCACGCTCGAGTGATCCAGAGCTGAGGCCTCATTGTTGTGTGGTTTATATGAATAAATACATGAGCGAGTAAAAGTTCAATTAAGATGTAAAAATAACATGTGAAATTATAATTTTACATTTCATTGAAAATCACGGCAATTTTGCTTCAAATAAATAATTCATTTGATCAATGATAAATGTTAAATATGATTGGACATTAACCCAATGGATAGATCGAAAAAAATCCCACCGAATTAAAAAAAAATCATTCGTTTTGTCCCCATAGAACCCGAGATACATTGAAAAACGTTGAAGCGATCTGTAAATCGATGAATGATCTATGAAAATTGAATTAGGATTTTCTCCCAAACGACTCCACCGAAAGAGATAATTTTTTTTTCAATCGCCTGAGAAATTTTCCGATCTACGCGATGAAGCGTGAAACAGCCCATTTTGCCCCCATGCAATTTCAATTTATGAAGAAGTCATAAAACTGTGAAATACACCTATTGGATGCAAAGTGTAAAAGGCCCTCGGGACACTTGAGGTCTCTTTTAAACTGCCCTCGAGACGTTCCACTCTTTCCTCGGTACCCACTCCAGGCTCATTAACCCCTCCCGCCCCCTCTTTCACCCCTCCAGCAAGTACCGTCCCATTATGCAACCACCCACACACTTTCATTTTGTCTCCTCACCTCATCCCACAAGTGGAATTCTTCCCTCATCACTTTTTCCACAAGTTGTTTCGATGAATTAATTCTTCTCTCATCGTCATTCGTCAGAAAATGTTTAATATTTCATTGTTCCTCGGGGTGAAGTCTTGATGACTGAATCGAGTGAGTGATTGTTGTTGAATATAGGCTCTCGGTAATAGCGGATAAATAGTATTAACAAGGCCAAATGCCTTCAGCGATGTAAACGTTCAATACCGTTTTATATGACTTTTACTTGCGCATGTATTTTTCATAAGTTACCGGAGGCGTTACGTATTTTCAGTACAATTTTATTGGAAAGATGTGTTGAGAAATATTGAGGACAGGTGGATATTTTTTCCTTTCGTTCGTTGAGACGAGAAATTTCTCGAATTATTTGAAAAAAATGGGACATTTTGGCCCAGTAGTTGCGGAGAAAATCACCATTTTATTTTCATCGATCATTTATCGATTTCTAGATCCTGTTCACATTTTCGCCAATTATTCGGGTTGTATGAGGCCGAAATGGATCATTTTTTTTTCACTGGATAGGTCGAACAAATTCACCTCAAATAGAAAGCAAGATGATCCATTTGATTTTATAGATTATTTCACGATTTCTAGATCTTTTTTCATTTCCACTGTAACTCGGCTTGAATGGGGGCCAAAAAGATGATTTTGTTTTCAATCCCATGAAAAATTTCCCTGGCTAACCGAATGGGGTCACCCTCAAGCCCTCAGGTTGAAGCAGAACTCCACCTATTGATGAAGTTGAAGATGTGTCTGAAGCGGTTTATGCCCCTGGGCCGTTTTATATATTTTTTATTTTCCACTTCTCAAGCCACAAGCGTCCAAACAGTGTACGTACACAAAGGAGGAGTGGCTGTGAGATTACAGAATGGAATCCAGGGTAGTACCAGCGGTCTCAAGCGGTTTCCTCAAATAAATATAACTTTTCTCTCCGAGAAGTGAGTCCAGGAAGTCTCGATAAATGCGTTTGAGGGGAATAAAACATTTTATTTTGCGGGAAAAAAAACTCGTTAAAATGTCCCTAGGTGTCGTAAAAACACCCCAGACGTTAATCTCAACTATTATAACCTCTTAAAATGATTAAAACTGTAAATAATTGCAGGCGGTTGTTTAACATGACATTTGCGTTTTTTTTTGTTGTTTCAGAAAAAACATCACCAAGGCTGAGAAAATTTGGAAGTGATTAAAAATAAGGAAATCCATTGAAAAATCAAAATGTCGGAGAGACGTGGCCCCAAGGCCCTCGAGCTCTGGTGTAGACGCATAACGGACGGTTATCCAGGAGTTAACGTGCAAAACATGACCACCTCGTGGCGAGACGGTCTTGCTTTCTGTGCGATGATTCATCACTTTCGTCCCGATCTCATGTGAGTTTATTGTAGCTATTTTTTTTTTTACTTCTGACTCTTCCTACTTCACATTTTTTACCAATTCTCCTGGTTAACCTCATCAATCACCAGTGGGTGATTAAGAACGAGCAAAAAATTATTCACAACTTGATCATCGAAAAAATCATCTTCCGTTAAAAAAAAAAACGAGAATATTGATTCTGAGGGGCACAAATTGCGGGTTACTGATGATGTTGACTGGTAGATCAGAAAATTCTAGGCAAAATGGAAAAAAAAATCATCCATTTTGATCCGCTAGTTGCCGAGAAAATCCCAATTCAATTTCTCATAGATCATCTATCGATTTCTAGATTATTTTCACGTTTTTAGTTGTATCTCGGGTTCTATCCAGGCAAAATGGATAAATTTTTTTTCATTGGATAGGTCAAGTCATTCCGCATCAAATACGCGAAAAAAACCCATTTTGCCCCAGGCTTCTAAAAAAAATCGCGATTGAGCTTTCGTAAAACGTCGATCGCTAGATTATTTCACACATTTTTGGCTGTATCTCGGGCTCTGCAAGGGCAAAAGGAATAATTTTTTCTTCATCTGCTCAGATTTTTCTCCCATCGATCTTTCGCAAGTGTGTGGGGCAAAATGGCTTTCTCACCAGTGTTTTAAATCGTAAATTTCGCTGGTCATCGACTGAAGCCAAAATGAAAGTGATCTGTTGTGCCCCATTAGTCGTAAAAAAAAGCTTTATAAATACCCCCCACACCCCACCCCGCAAATACCCAACGTTCCTCGAATTGTTCTCATCTGGGACTGCCGCCAAGAACTCTCAATTCGGCCAGAGGTAATCGAACCCTCTTCACTCGGCATTACGTATACACCCATTTTCTTTATGTATACACAAGGCGGTACATAAAAGTCTATCCAACGAAAGACGTAGTAGGAAAACAAGAATAATGACCGACGTTTGCACACGCTGGGGTATTACCGATGTCGTTGACCGGTTGGGGTACTAGACGTCCCCCCCATCCCCCCCGCCCCCTCCCCCCCTCCCGCGCGGGCACTAACGTAATCCTCTCTCGCGCCACAGATAAACAAAACACGTGGAACAATTGTCTTTTCAAGCATCAAAAGGTACTACCGAGAATTTTAAAATATTCCCTTTCATTCTTTTCTTTGAAATTTTCCATGAACAAAAAAAAAAATTTCTCACATCTCAGCAATTCACGAATAACAATGGGGTCTTTGAAATAACCGTGAAAATTTTCACCCGTTTTGCCCCATCACTTGAAAAAATACTCGAAAAAAATGGATTTGAAAAAATGACCCCCCGCCCCACCCCCTCTCAACCCCTGAAAACTTTGATTTATTTTCAATGTCCTAACGACACCGAATTATCTATAAATCGTGAAAGTCTCTCTAATTCATGTGAATCATCTGTAATTTTTTTCACCTGTTTAAAAACAATTTCCGCGGTGATTTCACTGAACAATAATGGAACACAGAATGACACACGATGTCGCATTTTTGTTCGAAACAATTTTCTCCTGTCAACACTTTCTCAAGAGAAAAAAAAAACTTTCACATTAAAAAAAAAACTTGAGATTTGAGCCTTCAAACAATGGGATATTGGTA